ACATGTATTCTGCTCTAGAAACATGTATTCTGCTTTGGGGACATGTATTCACTTTGGTGACATGTATTCATCTTTGGTGACATGTATTCTGCTCTGAGGACATGTATTCTGCTTTGGTGACATGTATTCTACTTTGGTGACAGGTATTCTGCTTTGGTGACTCTGGGTACATCTCTATTTTTCTCTGGTGAGAAACTGCCCTAAAATCATTATTCTATATTGTTTTAGAAAAAGTATCTGTAATTGGTATCGGCGAGTACCTGAGGGAAAGTACACAGATTTGGTCTTAAAAAAGTGGCATCAGGACATCCCTAGTTTCTACCATATGCTTTTAAAAACTCTGGATATAAGGACAAATAAAAGAATTATCATTAGTATAGAGGCAGCTAAACCCCAAGTGTATAGAAATATGTGCCATGTGCTATGTGACCCTAAAAAATGCTGCATATAATGAATTAAAATCAGTCCATGTGTCACTTATTGATATATATAGTAATAGGATGGCTCGGAATGCACACTGCCTGGCCAAAAAAAAAGCCACTCCCCGGATTTAGCTCACCAAACAGGCCAGAGTCTTCTATTGGAGAATTACTGCAGTGATTAATATGTTTCATCTGTCAACAAGTTATTTAACCTTAACTGATGCAGTGAGCTGCTTCTTATTCCTTAAACAACAGTGTCAGAAGACATATGCTGTGATCATAGATAGTAGACATGTGCACTGCCAAAAAATTCGTTTCGTTTTAAATTCGGATTTGTGTTATTTCATTTTTCAGGATTCGGGTGTGAAAGTCCATTCGGATTCGGAATTCGGATTCGGACGAAATTCGGTAGCGTTAGTACGAACGTTCGTTTCCTGTTCTTATTAATTTCTTATTCGTTTCGTTCGTTTGCAGCAAAAGTGACATTTGAGGGGGAAAAAATATTTTTCTCCTTTTCTAATGTCACTTTGCTCCAACGAACGAAACGAATAAGAAACGAATAAGAACAGAAAACGAAACTAACGTTCGTACGAACGCTACCGAATTTCGGAAATGGAAATTCGGATTCGTTTGCATTTGTTATGTCTGTAATTCGGAATTCGGATACATCCGAATGTCCGAATTTCCGAAAATTCGTCCGAATTTCGATTCGGAACGAAACGAATCGCACATGTCTAATAGATAGATGTAACTGTCAGGGTCTTACCCGGCGGCGTCTCACCCGCACTGATCACCCCCTCCTCCAGCAGCGACGTCACCACTCGTCGCCGCTGTCTCGCCAGCCGCCGCTCTTAGCTCCGCCCCCTGGACGCCGGCTTTCTCGTTAAGAGCGAGGGAGATTCAATTGCTCGGCGTTCAATCAAGGAGACTGAATGTTGAGCAATTGCTCTCCCCCCGTGCTGTTCCAAGCTCCATCCAGGCGAAGTCCTCTTCACTTTGTTCCCAGGAAACTGCTTCCAGCACACCAGGAGTTCTTAAGACTTCATCCCCACTGCCAGCAGCTACACTACAACCGCAAGTACCGAGTTACACAGGCTCTCCTCTGTGAACTGCTTAGGAGCTTGTGTGCACTGCCAACTAGTGACAGAACCTGTTATCACAGATGTCAGTATACTAGGCATGTTAAAGAAGTCTGCTACCTCTAGCTACTGTTCCCATCAGAGCTCACATATACTCCCCAAATGTGCTTAATGTATACCTCGTATTACTGAAAGGAACTGATTACTTAGAGATTAATCCGTTATGCTGGTGGTATTACTATTCCCTGTATGACTGCAATACAGGAGTTTATCTTTTAAGTTGCTTGGTGGTATATGATGTATGTGGGAGCTGCACCCCCTCACCACAATTAAGATGGTTATAGCAGTGTCAACCAGCCTGAATCACCTACTTACCCAAGTGGGCTGTACTACCGCATCCGCAGTTGCGATCTAAAGCATTGGGAGGATTATTACAGTAACTCTTTTCAAGAAGGGTCAAATTACTGCATCAAGCAGAGAAAACAACTAAGGAGATTGCTGAAACTACTAAAATTTAGTTTTGAACTGTCTAACACACTGTTAAAGCCTGGAGGAATAGTGGTGAACTGTCATCCTCCAGGAAGGATAGTGGTGAACTGTCATCCTCCAGGAAGGATAGTGATGAACCGAAATCTTCCAGGAAGG